TGAGCGATTGACACAACCAGCAGCGCAAGGTCCATCGCATGTGTGTTGTCATGATGTGCTGTTGGTTGACTGAAGCTTGCTACAGGGTGCTGGTGTTGATTGACGGACTGTTCTGTCTACACCCGCCATTCCTGCTGCCGCTGGTTGTCGCCGCAGTCTTTGCATTTGCCGCCATTGCAGCTGTGGCTCCTGTCCTCACTGCTGCAGGCACGCTGGTTGTCGCCGGAGTCGTTGCTCCAGGCGTACATGCTTCCATCACTGCCAGAATCTCTCTTGTGTAGGAGAAGCACAGTGTCATTGCAGCTGCTTCACAGCCCGCTAACGGCAATGTTGCAACAGTGGTGTTGCAGCCGTCTCCAAGGCACGCTGGTTGTCGCCGGAGTCGTTGCTCCAGGCGTACATGCTTCCATCACTGCCAGAATCTCTCTTGTGTAGGAGAAGCACAGTGTCATTGCAGCTGCTTCACAGCCCGCTAACGGCAATGTTGCAACAGTGGTGTTGCAGCCGTCTCCAAAGAGGCGATCAAATTTGATCGTCGTTGCAGATGTCCCTTTTGCCATCAGTCCGATTGTCCAACGAAGTTCCCGGCAGCAGAGCTGCTGCAGGGTGGTCGTGCGCCAAAAAGGATGCCTGCAAGGCGGCATGCATTGAACCTCAGTGCAGTTGTGGATTAGTCATTCAATCAATGTCACAGATGCAGGCAAGGACATGGCTGTCAGCCCCTTGTTTTCCAGTTAAAAAGTGTATTGGTGATTGACGCGAAGGGAATCCAGGAATGCGATAAAATCCAGTGCCTCCACGCTTTTTTATTGTGGAAGTCAGCTCTGCGCCTTCAGAGCCTTTCTGGTTGCGATGTGCAAGTGCTTAAACGTGCAGTCGGGTGAATCCCAACAGCTCAGCTGCTGTTTTGTGTCACAGGGCATAAATGGTTGTTCAACACAGCGTCTATCTGTGTCTGAGCCCTTTCAACGCACTAGTACTCATGCATTAATAGCTCGTCATTGTTTAAAGCGGAACCAGATCGAGCAGGCCAGCCCTGTGTTCTTCAACGGCCAGTGGCCGCCAAGGACTGCGTTTATCCAGCTGAGGGTTCGATCCCAAAGCAGCTATGAGGCCCCATCAGTGAGAGTGCCTCATTTGCCATGCCCTGGTCGTGTGTGATGCATGCACATGAACTGCAAAATCGATTGCGTGTCACGTCATTGGCGTTTTGCATCTGCAGGAAGAGGACGCCAACCCACTGGCCCGCCTGTCGGGAGTGTTGTCCCAATACCAAGAGGTGGGTGCCGCCGCCGGCCCTGGCGGCTTGGACAATGTTGTGATATTTGTGCCGCTTCTGCTGTCGCTGCGTGCAAAGGGCCGGTGCAGAGTGGCGGGGGACGAGCGATGCGTGGTGAACATCGATTCGATCGTCGTGGAGATCCCAGGCAAAGAGTGAGTGGCGGAATGGGGGAGCCGAGGACTGCATGCTTGGCTTCACACAGAATGCTGATCGACTGATTGGTTGAAAAGTTTGTTGATTGAACCAGAACTCACATGTTCAACCATGGTATGCTGGTCTGCTTTGGAGGCAGACTTCATGTTTGCAACCCGTTTTGCGCTGCGCCCCCATTGGCAAACATGCAGTAAGCTCTCCTTCTTTTCAGCAGATGCCTGTGGGTCTTGATTGCAAAAGCGTCGCAGTGAAGGTGCTGCAAAGATGCTGCGCCACGTTATTGTGCGTCGGCTGTGCTGCTTGTGCGCTGGCTGCTCTTCGTCGATTTCTTGTTTTGACTGTTTGGCCAGCACACAGTGCACAAAGTGCACACTGTTTTGTTCTTGGGAAATTGACAAAAGGGGGTCCTCTGTGAGATATCTTGACAAAAGGGGGTCCTCTGTGACAAAAGGGGGTCCTCTGACTGCCCCCTGTACATTAGGCGTGTTGCCAGACCGGCGCCAGACCGGCGCCAGACCGGCGCTGTACCGGCAAGCCGGTCCTAATAGGGGCGACCCCGAAGAGGACCCCCTTTTGTCAAATGCACCCCTGCAAAGGACCCCCTTTTGTCAAATTTCCTCTAAGGGGTGTCGTAGGGGTTAGTGAGGACTTGGCGATGTCATTTAAATGCCCCCCCCCCTCCCCCCCACCCGAGCCCCACCTTTGGTGGATTCTGGTGTGAAGTCTACAACACACAGGCTTTGGTACATACGAGACACTTGTAGCACTTTGATTTTGTAAGAGGGCCTTTGTAAAGTGAAGTCACTACCAACGTCTAGCTGGAGAAATGACCATTGAGCCTAGAAACCACGCCATACTGACGCAATCATGCCATTGCTCATAATGATATATGTATTTTTTTGAAGACCACTTGCATATAATTAAAACATGTTGAAATCACCTCAAATCAAGGCCATTTATGCACCGGTCATTGATTAAAAACCCAACAGAAAAAGGTTAAAAAGAGGACCAAAAGGGATGATTTCATAACAGAGGGGAAGAAGTTTTAAGTGGAGGAACTATAGGATAAAAACTGCATATATTAGGATTAGATTGCAAGACTTTAACCATCGAAAAGCAATGGTTGGGGCGTGGTGGCGCCATGGTTGGGGCGTGGCGGCGCCATGGCTGGGGCGTGCCGACGCCATGGCACAAGTGTGACGAAACTATGTGTGAAGTACTGGGAAGGACAAGGGACCTTTTCCACAAGGTGTTATCAAGTACAAGGACTAACTACCATCACCAAAATATCACGTTTGACCACCCTGGCGGCGTGGACAGTGTCCCATGATGAGTGGTCAGAATCAGAGCGTACCGGTGCCATGGTTGGGGCATGGCAGCGCCATGATTGGGGTGTGGCGGCGCCATGTTTGGGGCGTGCCGACACCATAGCACAAGTATGACTAAACTATGTGTGAAGTACTAGGAAGGACACGGGACCTTTTTTACAAGGTGTATGACTAGCTGTTGATGAGCTGTCAGGGTTAGAGCATGCCGGCGCCATGGTTGGGGCATGGCCAGGCCGTGTTTGGGCTGTGCCGCTGCCATGCTACAGGGTAGGATCAAAAGGTGATCTATTCCATGATATGCACATTATAATGTGTATTGGGGATGGAAAAGGGACTTTTCTTAGCCGGAGTTGTACTGGGGAAGGTTGGGAATAGTGCCAAAGACAATAACGATGTACTAATGTGCTAGTTTGAATACAAATACGAGGCGCTCCATGATGAGCTGGAGCCTTGCCGAGTCCGTTGATTCCTGTTTGATCTCTGATCTGTTAACGATCGATTCTACTCGGTCGGACATTTGGTTGGTTGGTAAGACTGCACTGGCTTTGAAGGAGTGACGTGGTCAATTATGGTGTGTTGCTTTCAAGAGACACCAAAGGGAGGGTTGGGGTTGGGGGGTTGGGGGGTTGGGGGCGTTTATGTGGCATCGCCAAGTCCCCACTAACGCCTACGACACCCCTTAGAGGAAAATTGACAAAAGGGGTCCCTCTGCCGGGGTGCATTTGACAAAAGGGGGTCCTCTGTGGGGTTGCCCCTATTAGGACCGGCTTGCCGGTACGGCGCCGGTCTGGCAACGCGCCTAATGTATAGGGGGCGGTCAGAGGACCCCCTTTTGTCAAATGCACCCCCGTAGAGGACCCCCTTTTGTCACAGAGGACCCCCTTTTGTCAAGATATCTCACAGAGGACCCTCTTTTGTCAATTTCCCTTCTTTCTTCCATGCGAAGCATTAACTCAGCCTATAACGCACGAAAATAGCCAAATGAATTGATTCTGTATAAAGTAACGCTCCGGCGATTTTTGCATGCGCATTGCCACAATTATGCTAAACCACACCCTTCCCCCCTTCCTGCCCTTCCTGTTGGACCTCTCAAGCAGTCGGAGGTGGTGACCAGGGCTGACAGACGACTGCAATCGATGATGTCACCCGAACTCATGTTGCGGCAGCTGCATTCCACATGGATATGCTGAAACACAAGCATTGTCGTTGTCATCTATGGATGCCGGCCGGAAGTTGAACGTGTGATGGAAACATTGTGTACAGGGGCTTTCTGGCCTTTATGCCGGTTCCCAACGAGCAATTCAGTTGCTTTGGATAGAAATACAGGTCGGTTCATCTTGTCCAGTAGAGTATCTGCCCGGTGGTAATTTGCGTGCTCCTGCGCACTCCGCTCATGAAGCATGTGGCTGACTTGACTTGATGGCTTCGAAGGTTCAATGTGGACATTCCCAACGACGGCTCCGGCTTTGTGGACTACCTGTACCTGGACGAAGACCTCAGGATCGTCAAGGGCAACAGGGGTGGCTACTACGTGGGTGTCAAGGAAGCGCCTCGGAAAGGGTTCCTTCCATGGTGACGGCAGCAGCGCTGGTGATTTGGGGAACGCTGCTGAGGGTGGTGACGCTGGCAGCGCTGGCGCTGCTGACAACCTTGGCTGTGATGCTTGTGTCTTGCGTCGCCTGTAGCGGCGGGCCTCGTTTTCGGGATTTCTACATTCACATGTTCGGTATTGTAAAACAAGGTGTCCGAAATGTGGAAAGGGCGGCCCAAAGATTTGGATGGCCCTCGGGTTGTGATGGAGCGTCCGCGAAGCGCGAGGCTGTGCGGGAGGCGACTGTTGGGACTAGGTGCATCTACCCCGGCGTCAATTTGGAGACGCTGGTGTGCACTCTTCGGGTTGCCTTCCCCAAGAGAAGAGGATTCACGCTGATCTGTTCCTGATCCGTATTCTCAATGAAATTAATAGATATTTCACTTCGTCAACCCTGGCAGTCACAGGTAGTCACCGGACTGACAGGGGCGACGGATGCGAATTTACATAAATGTTCGATGTGCTTGTCCAGGTGGCAGCTGCATGCCCAGAGTAAAGCGACCCAATATCCAGGAGACGGTCCATTTCTTTGGACGTCCACTTATGGCACCGCATTGTGCATAGTGTGACCGGGCCACACCCACCCTCCATGCGCCACTATGTTAAACCGCACCACACGACACTCCTATTGTCACAACAAAGATGGCGCAACTCTCCACTCGCTGCCTCTACAGCTACCTTTCGTACCCCATTTGCGCCAAGCGCCCCCCCCCAGCTGCCACGCAAAACGCTGAAAATTGCCACACCCCGCAGCCGGCCCCTCTTCGCACGGCTGCCACCTAATTATCCCCCACTCGCCCAAGTCCCAGCACGCATATCCACTCCCACCCCCATAGAAACTAGAATGCACCACTCCTCCGCATCTCAGCTGGGGGCCTCCCTGCTCTGGGTCCCACAAAACGCCCACCAGCATCTTGTCTTAACTGTATCGTCATGTTAATACGAGCTTTTCGTCGCATTTTCAAGTTCAATCTTCCCCCCTCCTTTCTTTTAAGCATTTTCGTTCGATATGGCTTGATACATTTTCTGACTGCAAAGTGTTTTGGCACCGCGCAGCGCGCCCACAACGACCGAAAAGCTCACGGCTCGAGTGCGTCGCATCCTCGACCCGCAATGTTTCCTGAACAACACTTCCTGAATGAATGCGGCACTTGCAGCACCGCGATCAGAAGTTGACAGTCGATCTCACCGCCTCCGCGACCCGCAGAGCTGTGGGCAAGTACAGCGTCTCGTAGACCAGCGGGAAGGGCGTGTCCATGCCGCAGACGCGCGCGGGCGGCGCCTCCAGCCGCGAGAAGCACCTGGCGGAGACGCGCGCGGCGATCTCGGCGCCGAAGCCGGCGGTGAGCGGCGCCTCGTGGCTGACCAGCAGGCGGCCCGTCTTGTTGACGGAGGCCTCCACGCAGGCAGCGTCCCAGGGGAGCAGCGTGCGCAGGTCGATGACCTCGCAGGAAATGCCGTCCTGCAAACAAGGCAGTTTTGAGAAAGCAAGCATGAGGCCCGGTACATGACAGTACTTGCTGGCACCAATTCTTCTCTGAAAGGCGTTTAATGCGAGTTAATACTATTATCTCCAGCTGTTGCGTTGTGCTAGTGCCGACGTTAGGTTGGCGAATGTACCGGACACTCGCAGTGACTGCAGAGCTGGAGGTTTGTAGCTCTAAGTACACGCTCGCACAGCAGAGTGCTCTCACAGCAGAAGCGCTCGCCCAGAAGCATGTAGTCGCACAGGAGTTTTACATGCGTTGATGACGATATCAGAGGTGATGTGTGCTCACAATCCGCTGGACAAAAGGAATGGCGCCCGTCGTGTGGGAGCTAAGCTCGTGGGATCGAATATCCATCAAGATCAACAAAAATATCAAATATCAAAAGTCAAATCAGGATCAACAATCGAGCACATGCGCTCATTATTATCTTCTGTGCGACTGTGGCACGCGTTCCAAATATACGTCTTTCAACTGGACGGAGAATATTTTTACATAACATTTCACACTTCGGTGGCACAATGCTGGACATCACGCAGCGCCTCATCGCGCCAAAATCGTTTACATCACAGGAATGCGCTACCGTCATAAATTCAATGTACTCAGAACGGAAGCCACGCATTATGTGAACCAATTAAACCGAACATATCTTGAAACAAACAAACTTAAGTAAGTTAGCACTTCGAATTTGGTAGTGTGGATACCACCAGACTTGGTCGCTTCATCCACAAATCAAAGCAAGTTCTGACGCCCACAAGGCGATGAGGGATGCAATGCGTGGCATGGGACCCACTGATCCAACCTTTTCCGAGACTTCTTGAGCCGCCTTTGTCAGGACGTGCAACTGCGCGCCCCAGCCCACGAGAGTGATGTCGCTGCCTCGCCGGACGACGTGCGCCTTGCTGAGCGGCACAGTGTAGTGACCCTCTGGCACGTCGCCAACGGACGAGCGGTACCTATAGCACAGTCAGTTGGCGTCAGGTTCGAAGCTGGCACAAGCAGACACTGCAAAGCACTAACCCTTATACCACTTTTCCCAACATGGGGACCCAAAGTGTCGGTCCCAGAATTTTGCGTCGGACCCGGATTTCTGGGGCGGTCTTTTCGTGGCTCGGCTGGCTTTGAAGGATCAGGAATGAGGAACCGCATCTGAAAAGCAACAAAAAATCCAGTCTACCTGACGTGACGAGAATAGAGGATTGATCGAGTCGTTTGCATGGGCCATATCTATTGGAAATAACAGTGTTGTCAATAACATCCACTGTACGTGTGAATCACTTCCAGCGGCTTGGCGTACTTCCACGCGGCTTCAGTGTCCATCGACGCACTATTGTTGTGCGCGAAGATTGATGAACTTCGATTGACCCGCATTATCATCACATTCACCATGCATTTGTTTCGCCCTAAGAACCGACCACGTTACCCACTAGGAGTACAGACAATGCCCTCCAGATACCACAGGAAGAAGACTAGTAGTACCCGTTTTCCGGCGTATCAAATATTGCCCGCTCGGGCTATAGAATTTGTGCCATCTCAGGGTTTCGTTGGCACCGCCAAAAAAACGCCGTCCATATCCGGGAAGGCCCCAGTCAGGGTTGGTGTCCCCTCCGGCGAGTTCCGCGATGCTGGACAGGCAGCGCTGCAAACGGCACTGGAGTTCTAGTCCAACGGTTGACACCCAGTGGGTATCAAACGCCAAGGCGCTGCGGCGGGCAATCAGTGGGAATGGCGCTTCAAGTCAATTTCCCGCCATCGAGGATTTGCACTGCACACGTTTACATTACTACGTTGACACAGAAAATTACTGCATTATTACGTCGTTACACATTGTTTACTCACAGTATCTTGGGTTCCAGAAACAAGGCGGGGTCCTTTCGCTCAATACACGCCAGCAGCAGTCCTGCAAGTAAAGAAAGAAGGATCCACACTTAGACCTTGTGCAGCCTCCAGAAAGCCAAATTGAAGTCAAAAATGATAACATGCACATGGGCTACTGGCACCAACCTGGTAAATTCTTGAACGTACTGTGCGTCAACATTCATGTGGGCTCGACTGCCATTCAAAGTTAGTCCTTCAGCAGTGAGAAAGAAGGCAAGCGCCAATGTTCACGCCTCCTAAGGTCCCTTTCAGTTTACTAACCAAACCGCGGTCCCTGAGCCTTGCAGGCGCTGGCAGTGATGAGCCAAACTGATGAATGCAGCAATCCTTATCTTCACCAATACTTACCCACAAGTTGAAATATCCCTTGCAAGCTGCGTGTGACAGTGTCCAATTAGGTCACGCTTCGCATACTCGGCGCACCCCATAGCAGTAGAGCAACTTACACATAGTGTTAGCCCCCTCAAGTCCCACGGCCCGAGAAAGGTTCAAACAATGGGCGACGACACAGTTTTGGCATCAATCTGTGGCAACGCTGCACTCCACTGATTCGCTTGATTCGAGGCCACGAGATCACCAGTTCGTTGTGGCCTCCTTTTGTGATACATGGAGGCCATAGGACCATTCCATTGCCTCATGGGCGGGCGCGCAGACGCCTACCCTTGGCATCTGCAGGAGAGCTCGGCACGACGACGACCATTCCTGGCACGTGCGTGAAGAAACTCTCCGGGCTCTGCGAGTGGTAGTGACCGCCGTGGCCGACGGCGCCTGCGACATTAACAAAATTTACAAAACAGCAAGCAAGCAAAATGGTAGCAAATCCAAAACAAAAATGTGTGCTTCTCGGTACATCTCAGAAGTGGTAGGGAACAGAGATACAAGTTAATGGATTGGTGAGCGAGAGGATGACACCGGTAGAAAACAGGCTGTTTGCGATGCCAATTGCGACGCCATTTGACACAAATTGATGTCATCGCAGCCGCTCTTATGCCATCGCAATCACTGTGACGGCATCATTTTGTGTCAAAATAGCATCGCAGTTGGCATCGCAGACACGCCGTTGTCTACCAGTGTGAGAAACAGTGAATAAGGAGATAGCATGCATGTGATGCAATTTAGCATCGCCCGGTGCGTGTTGAGGCAGGCCCACTCAAACCAACGTTTAATCATAGTAATGCGCAGCAACTGTGTGTGTTTATGCGTTGATGAGATTGGTGCATATCGTCTGTACTGGTGATGCTCCCATCCATTTTCATATGACAATTTCTTTGAAAGCTCGTTGCAGTGCGCCGAGCTGTTCATCTGGTTTCAAGCGTATTGCAAGCTCTCGAAAGTACACAAATTTCAGCAGTGGCGGATTCATTGCAGTCGCACCACTTGCATTTCTCGGAATTTCTGCAAAACAAATTAGACGATTACAGTGATCGATGGGCACCTCGACAAGGAGACATAACAGCATTGGGCAGGCAGGCGTGGGCACTGCTTTTGAGTACTTCCCTTATTATCTAAACGTCCTGGAATAGCAGAACAACGGCCCGAAGACGTGCTGAAAGACCCACGCAGGTGCAGCGTTGATTTCTTCGCGTGCTATTTCAGTGCCCCAAAACGGCAAATTGCGCAATTCTAAATGAGCATGAACATTATCAATTTGCAAATGAATGAAGCAAACAATTCTGCAATAAGTACGGAACGTATGGGGGCAAGCGAGGGATTCATTTTTTTTGCGGAATTACGCACAGCTTTTGTGCAAACAAATAGAATTCATGGAACAAGAAATGGATAAATGCATGTTCATGATGCCATCGCCATGCCAGGGTGCCATGGCTGTGTCTCGTTCTGGACCACTGTGCTTGAAGGAATTACGTAATCATAGAACAATCAATCGCATTTGTTACACCAACACTCAGCTTCAGTAAACTACGCAGAGCTGTAAATGTTATCAGCATTGCAAATTATGCAAACGGATATAACGAATTGCGACAATCAAAGCGTTGCCTGCACAGTCTGCTGGGCACGCCACTCGGAGCTTAGTACTTTGACGTTGCACCACCCCACCACTGTGAAAGGATGTTCTCGATGTTCTACTGGAGACTCACCGCATGGCGCCCGGATGGTTAGCCCGCCGCTGTTGAAATGGCCCCCACTGCGGTACCTGAAATTTTCAAACAAGGAGGAGCCCACTTCAGCACAACTCCATAGAGAGATTCTTTCCCGAGGTTTCAACCCGTTGCATTGGTAAGCTGGCTGGTTGCATGGATACAGGCCTCCAAGCTCCCTGTGCCGCGTCGCCTCATGGGCACACAAGTGCCGTTTATCTCTTCTAAATGACATGTTAACTTCGTGTTTATTATTTCACGCACTTCCTTTTTCTTTACTGTCGTTTTCCAGAATTTGAGAGCCCTATCATCGGAGCCGGCGCCGTGCTTATTCATTTTAGCAAATGCACAAATGAAACAGACGACCATCGTGCGGAAGAAGTTTGGCACCTGTATTTTGACCCCTCGTTCACGATTTGGTCAAATGCGGGGAAGATGTAGTCAGCGAACTGAATTTCCGCGATGGGCTGCATCCCCATGGATGCCATTCCGATGCCAAAACCCACTATGCCCTGCCAGATCAACAGGCAAACAATCGTGCAGACTCAGAATTCAATGGGGGGAAAATCAGAGTTGGTGCTGTGCGGAAGGCGATCTACTTGGCAACGAGGTATAGAATTCAGGAAAATATTTGTTCTCTGCCTTGTTTCCTGCAATAGCAAGCCACTGTATCTACATATCCACGAGTTAGAAAAGATTGAAGCAGCTGGCGCTCCAACTCGTGAAATACAGTGCCGCAAGTGGGTTTGCGCATCTGTGTTTGGCCTCACATTTTTGCGGAATCTGCTATAATATGGGGCCAATATCTGATATCGTAAGATATATAATTGAGCACATATAGTTAGATTATTTGAAAACCAATGCCTTGTCTGAATAGCCATTGCACACCTTCTCCACAGTCGCTCAAGAGCGCGTCGACATGAGCTCCCAGAACGGTTTCAATTCGGGGTGCGAATGTTCGCAACGCAAAGATTCCCGTCGACTGACAATCATAAATAATCAAGTGCACCAAAATCAAGTGTGAATTCGCGACAACAGAGGGGCAGGTGGTCCCGAAATCTGCACCTGTTCCGTGAGGGGCGTGTTGAAGACGCGGTGGTGCCCAAATCTGCTTGCAAGGCCGTCTGTGCATCGGAAGACGCCGCCAAAGCTGACGTCCTCGCCAAACACGTACGCCCTAGATGCCACAGGCAAACACTGACTGCTGCCCTTCTCCTAAAAGTGGAATAACTGTTGCATTCCAGGGATTAGGATTTAACAGCATTGGTAGTAGTATACTTCCTCTGTCCACAAAGTGTGGCGGTTATGACTTGGGGCCTCGGAAAATCCCATCACATCATCTTGAACAGCGCTACAATTTTGACCAGATGTTTACCTTCGTGTCTATTTTGATCCACCGAATTTCTGGGTCAATTAGCTGAGCACTGAGGGAGATATGGTCCCTCAATCCTGGGCATGTCAAACAAACTGTCATAAAAGCCCCAAAGTGCTTCAGAAACTACAGTGCTTGGAGCACTTCGACATCCAATTTGGACCATTGTTAACATTTTAAATGGTCCATTAGAAGTGGTAGACGACCTGTGTTCGAGCATAAGTCATCATTAGCAAATATTAGTAATCAGCACTTCCTCCATCCCAAAGAGGATGGCACTTATTACAATTAACGCAATTGTGGTCTTGGAAAAAAACCATCAACGCATCTCTGATAGCGCCCAAATTTCGAGAATATGTTAAAATTTGCATGAATCTTGATCCACGAAACTTTGAGCTCCGTCAGCCAAGCACTGAGGGATACATGCCTCCTCATACACAGGCATGTCGGACCAAATCTCTAGGTGGCCGTAAGGGTGACTTGGAGCCCTCAATCCATAGCGGAAAAGCGAGAGTTGCACACACGCTTTGGCCTGCAGATCGGAGGAGAGTTGGAGAGGTGCAAGACGGGACGTTGGCTCCTCATAAATTGTGCAATCAACAAACTTGCTTATCTCTGCGCCACAGCGAGACTTGGACGACATTTGGTCTGACACCCGCGTGTCGGAGGGATTACATCTCCCTCAGTACTTAGCCACTTGATCCAAAACTATGGTGGATCAAAATCGACACAAGCTTTAACATCTGGTCGAAATTTGAGCGCTTTTGGAGATGTTCTAATGGAATTCCAAGGCCCAAAGTCATAACTGCCAAACTTTTTGGGACGGAGAAGTAGCATTTAGCAAACAATGCATTGCATAATGTCTTGCTTGTGCTTTGCGCACCTCAACACAAAGCTACACATCAAGGCCCATGCATTCATGTGATTCGTAGAGAGTTTCGAATGTCAGTTACATCTTGGAGTTCTGGTCAAGAAGTTCTGAATAGCAATTTGAATGTAACACCCTTTGCTGCTTTCCAAGTTGTGTGGGTTCTTCACTGGTTCACTGAATCTGTCAGCACAAAATTTCATCACGCATTGATGGCCATAACAATAAGCTTTTGAGGCGACACTGCCACAGTTTCGGGGAGTTGGGAGCTTATTTGATAGCTGCTGGTGCCTAGAGAGGCCAGGAAGGCATTGCACACTCAGACCTGGATCATTCAGGGGTGCATGTCAGTGCACCTATTGGGGACTGCATCCCAACACATGCAACCCATCCCACAAGGCTTTATATGCTAACTACGACCTGCACACAGCCACGTACCCACAGAAGATACTTGTGAGGTTAATGGTTCAGCTGGACGGTTGGGGACAGCACATTGCAGACGAGCACAGTGCCCTTCATCACATTATGGGTGCCATTGGTTGATACTAATAGAATGAAAGCCCAGTACAAGAACCCCAGCTCTGTGCAAAGCAATTCCCATGCATAGAGAAAAGCTCTGCATACCCCGCAGTGTGCACTGTCAGTCATTCGCCCAATCAGATAAAGCAATTCATTCAGTTGTCGCCAGCCATCGCCATGAGTTATCTAGGGTCAGTGTTCCTTCCATGTTGACAGAAGGACTTCAAGGCAATTGCCACTTTCTGCGGCGATCCCAATGCTGCCCAAGCAAGCCTTGAATTGGAGTTTATAATGAACAACAGGTTGCCACCCTCACGGCCAGGCCCAGGGTGGCCACAACACCCCCCAAGCGCAACAGGAGCAGCGTGCGAAACGAGATCGAACCCATTCGGCTTGTCACTCTTAACCCCAGACCCAAACACGCATTCTTTCCATTGGCTCGGGTGGGCAATACCGGCGAGATTCAGGGATTATTGTCAGGGTTGTGGACATTCTTGGAGATGGGCTTGCGCACAGTGCGGAGACAGAACGGTCTTTGGTGCCAATGCTCACTGCAAATCCGATCAAACAATCATCACAAGATCCTTGGCATCAGGGTCGACGTAATGAACACTCTTCGTTGATGAAAATCAGAAGGATTCAGGAATTAATGATAGAAAATGATTGCAACGCCTTCCGGTTTCCAGCGATACGGCACGGGCCCGAATCTCTCTTGCGAACAACCGAGCGGCACCAGGTCTCCCGAACAAAGATGCATTGTCTCACAAGAAATCACAACACCGCCACCAGCAACAGTCACTCTCCCACCTGTCGTTCCTCTCCAGCGCGATGTACAGCGCCTCGTTGATCGCCTTCAGCAGCGACAGCCGCTTGGTGGCCCGGCCCTCGCCCGCGCCCCCCAACGGATCGCCCTCTCCCCCCTCCGCCACCCCGCTCGCGGCCAGCCTCCGCGCCCACGGCAGCCAGCCCGAAGCGCATGCCTCCCAGCCTGGGGCAGCCCAACCGCGCTTGATCGACGCCAAGCGCAGCATCCCCGCCAGCGAGGCGCCGATCGGCGCGGGGGCTGTCGATTGGGCAAAATGCGCGGGCGGTTTTTTGGATTGGGATCGCGAAAGGGCGGTGGGGATGCCGAATGGGGGGCTGCGGCGCGGCGCGGCGGCCAAGGGGGCTGTGCGCGCGTGTGTCTTGGGTGGGGAGGCTGGGAGGTTGGAAGCGGAGGGGCGAGACGGGGCGCAGGGCTCTGGTGTTTGGAGGACGTGGCTTTGGCGCTGGTGACAGCGCGGCAGGTGACCTCAGCCGGGGAAATACATTGGCCCCTCTATCTTGTGCGTGAAGACCCCTTCTTGTTTCGGACACCCTGAACCCTAAACTACTGACCCGCTGACCCTCGTTGGCCTTGTCAGCGGAAGAAGAAGGGATCCTCATGGAAAAGCCAGAGGGATTGATATATTCTCCACCCGCCACCACAGCCCCAGCTTCCCAAGTACCTTACCCCAGTGCTTGATTCTCCTCTTTGCTCTTTTTATGCCCCACGCTCCCGTGCTTTATGCCCCGAATATTTTAAATGCGCAGCAAATGCACGTCCCCCGCACTTTGGCTCACCAGTCCCCGCCGAGCGCGCAGTACTTTACATCCTTACTTTATGCCACGAATATTTTAAATTCGCCACAAATACCCCCCTAGTACTTCGTGTCACCGTTGCCCGCCCCGCGTCCAGTACTTTAAACACGGTGATTGCCAGTGCCCACCGCCCGCCCCGCCACCACCCAGCAAGCTCCCCAGCGCAGGCCCACGGCCTCGGGAAAGCGGCGTTACCTATTTCGCGCGCCCCGTTCGCCGCGACATGTCGGCGGGCGCGTCGGCCTGGGTATGCGGGGGAGCGGCGGCGGGCGGCTTAAAAAAAGCGCCGGAGCATCGGCCGGGGCAATGTCGCCAGGCGCCGCCGCGCGGGGCCGGTTGGGGCGTCGGATCGCTGCGATCGGCGTTCCGGGGGGCGGCGGTGGATGCGGGATGCGGGGAGGCGCGCGAACGGCGGGGCGGGCGGAGCGAGGCGGTGTGCTGCTCGGGATCGGCAGGCGGGGACGCCATGACGATCGCAGTGACGGGTGGGGGTTCTCGGTGGCTGGGGGGGGGGGGCGTTGCATGGGAAGATTTGCATTCATTCGTTTATCCTGTGAAAGATTGTTGCTTGGAAGATTCAGCCTTTTCATTCTTGTGTTATGGAAGATTGTTGATTGGAGGATCCATTATTGTCATTCTTCTCTGTGGAGTTTTTTTCCTTGGACAGCATGGGGCACAGTTTATGCGATTGGCGCGTTCTTCGTGACCTGATGTGTTGTTTGGTCATTCTCTTCCTCGGCTGTGGAAAGTGGCAGAAATTAATATTATGTACCTGCAACTTTGGAAGACGATACACTGGCCATGGGGAATGTCTTCATTGTGGTCAGATCATTAGACAGGATGAGCCTGCTAGAGGGACCTCACCAAGCTTGGCAACAAATTCCTGCCCTCCCTGCCCACACATTTCATAAGACCACACACGGTGCAAAGGTCCCCAGAGCGCACTCAACCATGAAACTCATTTGTGTTTGAACTGAAAGGCAATAAGGTAAGCATCAGTCCAGACAATACATACAAAGGCTGGGCCCCGCTGGAGATGGACAAATTTGGGAATATTTATGATGTTAGGAGCATTCTTTTTGGTCGGTTCTATTGCATCCATGGCGCTATACCCGTGCCACCTTACTGGTGTGGCATTTGCTGAACAGCACTGGTGCTATTGCTCCCCTGCGCGCATCCATAACATTGGGTCCTATTGCTATGCCGAATAGCAGCAGGGCACCATTGCAATATTCTGTGTGAATATCACTGGGTGCAATTCTGGGGTGCTATTTGGCCTCAAGCGGTGCTGTTCAGGGCACAAATAGCACTGCTTGGGGCTGAATAGCATCAGGGGGCTGTTGCTCCCCAAACCATAAATGATGGTTGTTCGACATGTGGTGCTACTCAGATTACCAAATAGCACCACCAGTGCAATAGCGCCCACCAATAAAGCTGCTCTAGAGGGATAAGGGATGTGGTGGAAAGTTAACTGGCACAGTCTGTGAAAGTCTAAATTAAATGTGAGCCAAACCACTGGTAGCCATGCCTGCTGTCAGGGATGGTGGTGGTGAGCCTTCAATTGGAGCAGAAACATGGCACAGAGCAGGAATCTTCATGAAGTCATGATTTTCACAATCCCCTGACTGTCATGCTTTTGGCGCTTGCGCAGGGGCCACAGGCCTAATAGGAACCCGGCTCGTTGCCCGCCTGTCCGCCCTTGGGCACAAGGTCAAGGTGCTGACCCGCAACCCAGGCAGGGCCAGGGGGAAGCTGCCCTACAGGGGTCTCACCTTCGTTGGTCCTTCACAGTGGGAGTCGACCATCTGCGGATGCGACGGCGTTGTCAACTTGGCGGGGGAGCCCATCGCCACGAGGCGAGTGCCTGCCCATGCGAAACCATCCTACAAAGTGCAGGTCGGCAGTACTGCAGTGAGGGAACAAAGCCTTAAATGATGTCTCAAATAAGGGAATTTACGAATGGAATACAATGAAATGTAACACCAACTGGTTGTCTACCAAAGTCATCCAGAGTTCAGCGAAGAAACTGTGCGTCATGGTGCTGTCTGGGAGGTGCCCCCGTTTCAGTCTACTCCTATCTGCTGCATTGTGCCCCAGGGGATTTTCTTCATCTTTTGAGCAAGGGACATCAAAGCTGTAATTGGGTTCCTATACCATCGTTGGTGGTAACACAATGAAGACTGCACCACCACATAGGAAGCGCAGCATTTATGCGCTACTGGACATTTGCAGCATGTGGCACATTCCTTGTTACAATTTGCAACAATCATTGTTGGTAGTTGAAGTATTGTAGAGTGGCTTGTGGTATGCCGTATTATTCACCATGAGAATCCTACCTGGTGACCCTTTCCTGCATGTGGTGCAGATGGACGCCAGCACTGAAAAGAGAAATTAAGAGCTCTCGTGTGGCAACGACGAAGAGGATCGTGGTGGGCATCTCTGACTGTAATTTGCTCCAAATATGTTAAACAATGGGCTTTTGCCTGGCTGCTGGCCCAATGGGCTGTCAGCTGGATCAAACAACCATATTAGAATGTGCGTGGGTTGGTTTCATCGAGCATATGAAATCACGGACTCTGGTGAAGGGCTTCCCTTTCTGCAGTGACAAATGTATTGAGCTGCCAACTGAAGCAACCATCCACCAAAAGACTGTACTTCTGTAATAAATGGGTTGTGACATGTTATGCTACGATTGTGCGTCAAGATTGCGATTGTGTCCAGGTGCTGATTGGGATTATGAAATGATATATTGTGTGTTTTGCTTATGAAGTCAGAAGCACCCCCCATCTGCTTTCTGTCACTCACAACTTGACGATCCTTTGTT